CCCCAAAACCCCAAAACCCCAAAACCCCTGAATCTTATTAGGATATTGAACTAACTAATATTTTTATTAAAAAAATAACAGAAAATACCAATAGTCTATTCATGAACCAAATATTAATTAATTCCTCAAATATTGCCAAATCTTTCATTTAAAGAATAAAATGTATAAATACCATAATATTTACCCAAATAAACCCCAAAAACTCACAAAAACATTCAAAAACAACACATTTTCCATTTTAACAATTTTATCCAAAATCACATCTCCTATCACTCCAATTACTCCTTCTCTCCCAAACACACCATGCTCAAAGACCTCCTTACCCCCTCTTCACCACCCTCTCTCCTTCACTCCTTGCTCTCTTCACCAACTTGTCCTTCCCCCTTCATAATATCCCCTCTGATAGTAACTCCAAGTCCAATCATTATTCCAAGTGCTCCAATATATGTGATTAAGCCAGGCATGTTATCTTGATTAAGCAAACAACCAAGAATTTGAACCAAAATTGGTTCCAAAAGAAAGATACTTCCGACTATATGTGGTGGGAAGAACTTTAAAGCAAATATATAACCTCCACTGCCTAGCATTCCTGCAAAAATCCCAATAAATATAAGAGAATGAATCAAATAAGTATCTGAAGCCCAACCAAATACTCCATGCAAAGGATCAAAAGATAAAAATTTATCTGTTCCATTAAAGAAAGTAAAGATGCAGATATTCATTACTAACTGGATTATAGAGTTAACATGGAATATAACAATAGGTGGAAGCTTCTTGAGCAATCTTGCATTGACGATATAAAATAAAGCAGATGGAGGAGATGAAGCTAGTGATAAGATATCTCCAAAAATAATATTTGTCTGACCATTGGTTTTAGTAGAGTACTTGTCACTGACACAAATAATGCACGATAAAATTACAATCACTGTTCCAACTATCTCAAGCTTATGAACTGAAATCGATAAAATTATATTAACCATAACTATAAAAATACCTCCAAGATTAGATAATAGCCCAGTATGAGACACCAGTGTGTATTCTGAACCCCATACATAGACAGTAAATGCTGTATACCAAAGTATAGCTGAAGCAGCAAATTCCATTAAAGTCTCTGAGGTAAATATCTTATCAAAATCCATCGAATTCTTCTTCACATAGAGGCTATAGACACTAAAAGGGATGCAATAAACCATAATAATCTGTCATCTCCACATATTCCTGAGCATAATATCCACTCCTTTATACTCATCAATAAAGGGTATAATAGAGGCGCTTCCCAGCAACGCCAGAGTTGTGACCACCAAGCCTAAAATTAAACACTGGTCTTACCCAGGATTAAATTGTTGGACCTCTCTGTAGGTTGTTCATCTGCAGCAGAAACTTCAAATGATTTCATACTCATTTTCTATAAATATTAATCTTGCGATTCATTAATATGTAATTGGGTGGGGTTTTGGGGTTTTGGGGTTTTGGGG